TTCAGTCTAGGTATATACAACATTGGTAATTGTTTGGTAATAAATGAACAATGTGCAATACCTTCTCCAGCTACTTTCATTCTCCATCCATTGGCTAATGTAACATGTTGTTTGCTATTATTCAGTTTATTTCTAGTGATGGATTGTGATGCACCACTATCAACTACCCACAAATCATGGTTAACATTTGTAGAACTTGATATAGCTAAATTAACATTCTTTTTGGTTCTCTTTTGATCACCAACAGTCATTTTCTTTCCCTTAATACAATATTTAGCTATATGACTCTTAGACCCACAAGAAAAACATCTTTTAACAATGTAGGCAATTGAAGACAATTTTTCTTCCTGTGGTTGTCTCTCTCTTAATTGTTCTCTGTCTTTCCTTCTTCTGGATTCTTCCAACAATCTTCCGGTTATGCCAGTCTATGTTAGTTCATCTCTGGTCAAAACCTCCAATGAAGAAACATAATCATCATAACTTTCATCCAAAGAAGAAAGAATAATGTAAACCTGTTGCAATTCTGAAAAAATAAGTTCCTTCTCACATAGCTCTTGAAAAGTTCTTGTCATAAACTCCAAATGAGCTAACATATCTCCTCATTTAAGAAGACAGGTTTTAAACAGTTTACGTGTAAAATGTATATGAGCACCCACACTATCACAAACATATATTCTCTTCAAATTATTCCAACACCTAGCAGCAGAATCTTCACCATGAATATGGACTAGCTGCTGGTCACTCAGTGTCAGTCCAATTATACAAAGAGCTCATTCGTTATCCCGAGTAATTTTGGCTAATTTCTTCTCATCTTCATCATTATCTGGATTCCATGCAGTTACATCCAGTGGATTATTAACTACATCCCATAGTCCTTCCCTATGCAACAGCAGGTGGCATTTCATAGACCAGGAAACATAGTTTGTTCTGTCCAACCGAGTTATCATGGATATACTGGATGACTGTTCTTGTGCCATCTTCACTTGGATACTTAATAACAAACACAGCTGTCTGAATAAATTACTGTATCATTCACATCAACTCTCAGTGCTCTAGATATTTCTGGATAACTCTGGGTAACTCTGGGTGGCTCTGGATGGCTCTGGGCCCATAACCAATGTTAAGGATGTTGTTGAGTTACACCCGAAGTTGTGGTTTATAAAGCAGAGTACCATTAGAGTTTTATGCATGGAAACGTTTTGAGAGTAATTGTGAATAACAGACATTTGCTACAGAGCTCAGCCAATCAGGATGCAGAATGACTCAGCACAGTTCTTAAAGCTACGTAATACATTCACATAATACAAACATACAATGTTGGCTTATATATTTCCTGGCCCACCAATTAGGCAATAACCATTTCCTAACGATAACTGTAATGAGGAAAAATAAAATGTGATACCTTGAAACAATAAATCACAGTTTGATAAAGTTGGATTTAACTTGTAAGAACTTTAAAATCATTTTCTACTTATAACATATTAAGTTGCTTAACTAAAATCTTAATTATTTCTGCACTAAATATCCCAGAACTGTATACATTTTTCAGGGAAGATCATATTGTTCTTGGAAATCCAGAGCTAATGGACTGAGTCTTTAGCACTTCATAACATAATGATCACAAAAGTAAAAGTAGGATATACAGAGACAGCTAGGGGCTTATTCTGTATACCCTCCTTGTCTACAGTTCTATCTAAAATAATCTGAGGTCACTGCCTTCTGTTTTTCTGTCCAAGTATACAGGCAGAGAGTGCATGCTGTTTGACTCTCCTCCTAAAGCATGTTTTACCTTCCTTGTGAGGTGTTTCTTGTAAAGAAACCTCATCTCTATTACAGTTCCAAAAGCTGCTTCACTAATTATTGTTCAGGTCAATTGTCAACTCTTGGGAATGAACACTTCACAGAACACTTCAACTTTCAACAAGGTTATTGGCACCAGTGACTGAAACAAATGACAGAAGACTTTTCATAAAGGAAAGAGTAAAATGTGAGTCTCCTAAGCAGCAATTTAAAGATTAGAGAAGAAAGCAGAAAACTTAAATAAAAGGTATCAGGAAAGTTCAGCCTATGTCACTAAAGTTTTTGTGATGGGCAAAAGGAAGGGACCTACAAGCAGGGCAAGAGCAAAGAACCTGAAAAGCTGCAAGTGACTGAACAGCTGCTGGGATCAACAACTGGTGGTGAGACACATTATTGTGCATTTATAGGGTTTAGACTACGCAAAAGTCATTTGAAAAACTCTCCCACAGCTATACAAGAAATAAATCACAATTTATGAACAAAAAAATCCACAACAAATTCTCCATCTACACACACACACACACACACACACACACACACACACACACATATGTAAAAAGTTAAAATTTTGGGTGTTTTCCCGCGTCATTAAAAGTCTGTTAGTTGAAATGCTTAAAATCCTGGCTAAAATCCCAGTTTAAGATCCTCCAAAATCAGAAGCTGGTAACAGCTTCTAAACTGAAAGTAGGGGCCCGATGATGACAAATTAGAGAGCTTGTTGAAACGTTGCCAAAAAGAAAACTTTTAAAGTGTTGGTTAGGATTTTAGCCAGAGTTTCAAAAAACCTTACAAAGTGTTTTGTTGGGATTTTGGAGGATCTTAAGCTGGGATTTTAGCCAGGATTTTAAGCATTTCAACTAACAGACTTTTAATCATGTGGGAAAACACCTGAGATTTTAACTTTTTACATACACACACCCGCGAAAACTTGAGAAGACAGATATATATATATAAAATATGATATATATGTGTGTGTGTGTGTGTGTGTGTGTGTGTGTGTGTGTGTGTGTGTACAGTTAATATTTCGGGTTTCTTCCCTAAAAGGGTAGAAGCGACGTTTTGACAGAATCTCATCTGCCATCATCAGGTTTATGTGAGGGGTCTTTTGCAGTAATTGCCATTACTATTTCAAATCTGGTGCTGGTAGTCTGGGATGGCTCCACCTTTTCTTTCTGATTGGTTGGGAGTCCCAGTCTGTGTTTATTGGCTTGGCTTTGGGTGTATGGTTTTATCTGTTATTCAAATTAAATTAGCAAAGTACTGTATAGACACAACATCAAAACCATATTTTGCACAGATAGAAAGATATGGTCCATTCTGAGAAACCCTAAAGACAAAATAGAATTAGAAGATCAAGGCATATACGAAATCCCATGTGCTTCCTGCCCATCAACATATATTGGACAGACCAACAGAAAAATGAGTGTGCGCATCGAGGAACACAAAAACTCAATACACACATCATCATTAGTTCAACACATAAATACAACAGAACATAATATTAATTTTAATAACACAAAAACAGTTGCAAAAATAGAACATCTCTATGGCAGGATAATCAGAGGCCATTGAAATAGAGAAAAGACCATATTGCATGAATAAACGTGATGACACTTCCCGTCTGCCTACTATTTGGAAACCTGCTGTCATAGATAGACGAATCTTAACACAAAATATAAAACATAGATCAAGGGTTCATCAAAAGGCCTGTATAGCCACAAGTTCCAGCCAAATCACAAACAAGATTCTCATTAATTTTTTTTTAATCAGATTTATTGAAAGAGAAATGGTATTTCACTGCAGAAATCTCAATAAATGCATACTTTCACTTTATCATCTTGTTTTATCTATAACCATTTCTAAGTTTACTAGAGCAAGTACTTTTCAATTTTCTTGCTAACACCCATTTGATTGAGAGGGAAGATTGTCTTCCTCTATGTAATTTTTTAAGCAGATGTTCCAAAGTAACAATCTTTGATAAACCACTATCCAGTTTCAACTTAGTTTTCTTCATGGGCTTATTATTAATTAAATAAAATAAAACACCCACTTTCACTGATTTTAGTATCCTGACAGTGAGAAGGATTAATCACTGGAACAAGTTGCCTTCTGGAATTGTGGGTGCTCTATCACTGGAGATTTTTCAAGAAAAGATTGGATAGCCATTTGTCCAGGGTGGTGTAAGGACTGTTGCTTTGGACAGGAAATTGGTCTAGAAGACTTCCATGGTCCCTTCTAGCATTATGATTTTATATTCTAAGTGTATAGATCATAAAGTGAAGCAATTCTACACTTTTGAGCCTGTCCTTAATGCAAATCTTAAATTACCAGGACTGAGAAAGGTTTCTTTTGTATTTTCCTCTTTTTTGCCTGTCCATGGTCATGATTTATTAATAGCCCTTTTCTATATAACAAACTATATGTACTTTAGTTCTTAAACCCTTAATCATTTAAAAATAAATTGAAAGTAACAATCAGAAATGTCATATAATAAAATAGATGTACATATATTTGTATCCTCACTGTTTCGCTGAAATAAATAGAAGTAAAAGTTAAAATATGGGTGGGGGTGGATATTAACAACAATAACTGTGTAAGTAATACTTTTTCAACAACTAAATTAGCTTCTTCAAAGGATAACAGAACTAAAATAAAGATTCTCTTTCATCTTCACACAAGTATTGGAAAGCAATTCAATAAAGGCGAAATTATTTCATCAAGCACTACAATAGTTCCAATAAAGGAGAATACAACCCTATAAATACCTATGTATTTCTGGTTTGAAATGAGGGATTCTTAGTGCTGTCTAATCTTGGTTGTTTTCTTGCAGACATTTCATTACCCAAACTAGGTAACACGCACTGATGATGTTACCTGGTTTGGGTAATGAAACGTCTACAAGAACACAACCAAAGTCAAGTGCACAACTGTTGTAGTGAACAGTTATGCACTTCAATCATGTTATATCATATAGATATGTTGTCCTTCAAAACTCTCTTTACTACAGTTTAAAGTTACCAACAACTCTTCAAAATAGGTTTAAAATTAACCCGTTCTAAATTCTTGCAGTCACTGTATAGTACAAAAAATATTAGTTTAAAAAAAAAAAAACAGACACCTTTGTGAATTGCTAAAACACCAATAAAAAGAAAAGAGGCTGTGTTCTAAAACAAAAATATATACTTAAAACCTCTAATTACCTGTAACAGTTAATTCTGTGGTTCTTCTGACAGAAAAGAGTCCATACTTTAATTCACAAGTGTAATTTCCAATATCATCTTCTATAACCTCCCGGATAACAAGAGTATCCTTTTTGAACAAAACACTTGGTCTCCAGGTTGTGACTTGGCATTCCTGTGCAAAGATAATTACAGTATTTTAGTAAGTATAGCCCTTGTATTTTTATTTGACACATCAGTTTGATTTAAAACCTGTAATCTTAAAAGCTTTTTTTAAAAAGTCTCAAAATCAGTACAAAGTTCATTGCATTACTTGACAGTAAACTATTTTAGATCACATTTAAAACTTTTTCGTCAAACACATTTGGAAGAAAAATATACCCATCCACATAAGGACTTATTCATCCTTCATTTTCTTTTTCACCATTTCTCAATTTTCTTCCCTGGAATCATATTCTTATAACACTGAAATAGAAAAACTGCTTCATGGAAATATATAATTGCTTCACATATCCTTATGGAGAAAACACTCTTTCTCCTATTGGTAGACTCTTAGTTCTGCGAAACACAAATATATTTTAAAATATTTTTGAGTAGAAAATTTCTCATGGATGGAATGAGGTGATATGGATGCACACAAATCCTTTGTCTTTTTTACACAAACATTTCTGTAGAGGTTTCATGCTCTCTGGCTTCTTATTATGTTGCCATAAATGCAAGAGAAAGATATTAAATTAGGGCTTCTCCTAAAATTTTTTGTATCTATGTATTTTATTGTTTGGCTGTTCACCGCCCTGAGTCCTTCGGGAGTAGGGCGGTATACAAATCAAATAAACTAAACTAAACTAACTAAACTAAATCCCACAATAGGATTAATGGAATAGCCAGGAATGCTTTAATGTGGTGTAAAACATGTAACAGGTCCCATAAATACATATATTATGAACCATCAATAACTCTCAATAACAATAAAATGAACACAAATATCTCATCAATAAAAAAATGAAAAAAAATCTGAGGCACATGAAGAACAATTATAGGAAAAAACAGCTGGCCTCTTTTTCATGGGTAAGACATGTTTCATAAATAATTAAGACGTCCTGTGACAAGAGGCAGTACTCTGACCAATATGCTATCCAGCCACCCTATTTGCTTGTATACTGCTGTCTACTTGATCAGAAGTGTGAAGTATTAAAAAGGGAATGTATAAACTAATGATTGGGAAAGAAGGACCATAGAAGATCAGGAAGGAAAGAAGAGGAAATACAGGAAGCATAATCTATACTACAGTCATTCATAAAATAGTTATTGGCTGCTACATTGTTTTTGAATTGCTTAACTTCCCATGGTTTATTTTTTCATTGCTGAGTCATTAAGTTCCAATAGTATTGTACTTGTTTGCATGATCCTTTTTAGTGGCTCTTCTTGTGCTGCTGTGGTTCATATCTGCTTCTAAGGTTTTCTCATGGTCTGACCTAGCCCTAATCCTAACCCTAATAAAAAGCATTTTCTTTGGGGATTTTGTTTTATTTTTATTAAGAGAATGAGGCAAATTTATTTATTTAAAATGATGCAATTGTTTCCTCTTCCATAGAAAATAGCTTTCTTTGGGTATGGCAACTGGATAAAAGTATATATTTAAAGAGGGTGACACATTCATTTATGGGTCAGGCATGTTGTGGGTGCAACAGTACAGTGTTAAATACCATCTACAGGAGCCAGGGCCTGAGACATTAGTTATTAAAATAAAAAATCACAATGTGTCCATCCTTGCAGCCTCACTTTTAAAACCTAAAGTATGATTTATCTTATTAATCTTTTGATTTTTTTTCATTTATGTTCAGAAACGTCTTGTTAGAAAAATATACCTTGGTTTTAAAGAACTATGCCACTATGTATTATGAATGTGTCTTTTATCTAATTTCTGAATAACTGAATGTTAACATATTTTGTAATATATAAAGAATGCATTAGCTATGTATAAAATTGAAAATATAGAGACATTTCATTTTCAGTAACCAAAAAAATGACCTATTGCATTTAGAAATTTGTCCATCAAATATCACATTGCTTCTGTTATTTCCCCATTTTTCAGTTAACTTTTTCTAATTACTGTATTTTCCGCCGTATAAGACGACTGGGCGTATAAGACGACCCCCGACTTTTCCTGTTAAAATATAGGGTTTGGGCTATACTCGCCATATAAGACTACCCCTCTTCCAACGCACACCAAATAAAAATTAAAAAACATCAACTGGCTCACCCACAATGTAAAAGCAGCTGTGCTAGACCCAAAATGGCCCCTGCAACATGTAGGAACCACACACAGCCACAAAAAGCCACAAAAAAACAACTTTCACACTTTACACACACACAACACAACACAACTGGCTCACCCACAATGTAAAAGCAGTTGTGCTAGACCCAAAATGGCCCCTGCAACAAGCAGGAACCTCACACAGCCACAAAAAGCCCAAAAAAACAACTTTCACACTTTACACACACAAAATTCTCACATCTCTTTGTGAGATTTTGTGTGTTTGTGTAGTTAGAGTGAAACACTACAGAAACACACTAAATCTCAGAAAGCTGCACAAATATTATTTTATTTTATTTTATTTTTATTTTTATATGAAAGCTAAATTTAAAACTTCCTAAACTTTAAATGGCTAGGTCTAAGAAAGAACAACTAAAAAAAAACCCCAATTAACTATTTTTTTTAAAGCTCCCAAAGGGGAAAAAAACTTACCCAATAGAACAGGGGTCTCCAACCTTGGCAACTTTAAGACTTGTAGACTTCAACTCCCAGAATTCCTCAGCCAGCTTTGTTTTGCTGGCTGAGGAATTTTGGGAGTTGAAGTCCACAACTCCCTGCCTGCTTGATTGCAGGCAGGGAGTGGCTCGCTGATGGAATGGATTCAGGCAAGCGAAGCAAGGCAAGCGTTGCAACTAGCAGCTAAGGTAAGCAAGCTGGGGGGGGGGAAACTTTTTTCCTTTTACATGGCTCTGGCGATCCCAGCTGAGTTGCCTGATTAGCAGGCAACTCAGCTGGGATCGTCAGAGCTTGGATCGCCAGAGCCATTTAAGGCTCGTCAGAGCCTTTCAGGTTGGTCTGCCTGGTTACGGGAGAATGAGACCCGGTGTATAAGATGACCCCCGACTTTTGAGAAGATTTTCATGTGTTAAAAAGTCGTCTTATATGCCAGAAAATACGGTACACTTTTCAAAATCTTATGAAGCTGTGTATTCTATGTATAAGTAAAATTCAGATACTAGAAATGGAGCAAAAGAAAACGTGTAATATTTTGTTGAAGATTTTTAACATTTCTTACCTTATACCATAAGATTTCTGGCTCTCTATATAATATTAAAAATTCCTGTATGTCGGGGCATGAAATTTCTTTGCTTTTGCTAAGTTCAGCTTTTTCTAAATATTTCATCTTTGAATTGTAGCACAGACCAGTGTCATTTTCACCCACCGTCAGTGAAATGGATACCTTCATACAATAGGTTGAGTTTCTGCCATGGAACAAAATACAAATAAGAAAAAATGGTTAAAAACAGCATTAATTTCCCTAAATGCAGCAATGTGTTTTCAAGCATAACAGGAATTTTTTCAGTAAAGTGTGGCGGGGGGGGGGGAGACATCCAATTTTAAATTCTTATTTAATTTAGAAGAATTAGTACATTTCATTTACTTTGCAAAAAGAATTACACTTCAAAATTTCCTTAATTCTAATTATGGCAAGACAAGTTCCTGCATGGAGAGAATAAAGTTATAAAGCCAATTATTTACTAATCAGTATTAACATTTTAATGTTCCTATGATGATCAAAAACTACCACAACAAACTCTTTACAGCTGAACTAATCAGTTTATAGCAATATATTTTAAGCCTTCCACATTCCTAAGTCCTTCGGGAGTAGGGCGGTATAGAAATCGAATAAAATAAATAAATAAATAAATAAATAAATAAATAAATAAATAAATAAATAAATAAATAAATAAACAAACAAACCTTCGCACCATAAACATGAAAGTTAATTCATCTATTCGTTACATTATTTTTTTGAATGAAGCAATAATTAAAAGAAATATTCCCTATAACGTTTATTTTATTTATTTAAATTTAGTTACCACCCATCTCATTCTCAAAGTGATTCACTTAATAACAGAGAGACTTGCTTAATAACAGCCAATGTAAATTGCAGCCATATAAAAATGCCACCTACTCATTTATTATATTCCTGTACCTCTTTACTTTCAATTATTCTGCCCAAGTGGCTTAAGTATACAGCACTTTATGGTAATATAAATCAGAACATAGTCAAAACTTCCATGTTTTTATGTTCTACCTGACCATTTTCTCCTACTTGTGCAGTTTCATTATGTTCACAGAGAATCTGGAAAAATGTGTCTTGCTTCTCTCAGTTAGATGGAGCTGAAATCTTAATAGTTGTTGCAATAATCAAGCTTATGTAATCCTTGTATTGATATACAGTGGGGCAAAAAAGTATTTAGTCAGCCACCAATTGTGCAAGTTCTCCCACTTAAAAAGATGAGAGAGGCCTGTAATTGACATCATAGGTAGACCTCAACTATGAGAGATAAAATGAGAAAACAAATCCAGACAATCATATTGTCTGATTTGGAAAGAATTTATTTGCAAATTATGGTGGAAAATAAGTATTTGGTCACCTTCAAAGAAGCAAGATTTCTGGCTCTCACAGACCTGTAACTTCTTCTTTAAAAGGCTCCTCTGTCCTCCACTCATTACCTGTATTAATGGCACCTGTTTGAACTTGTTATCAGTATAAAAGACACCTGTCCACAACCTCAAACAGTCACACTCCAAACTCCACTATGGTGAAGACCAAAGAGCTGTCGAAGGACACCAGAAACAAAATTGTAGACCTGCACCAGGCTGGGAAGATTGAATCTGCAATAGGCAAGCAGCTTGGTGTGAAGAAATCAACCGTGGGAGCAATAATTAGAAAATGGAAGACATACAAGGTCATTGATAATCTCCCTCGATCTGGGGCTCCACACAAGATCTCACCCCGTGGGGTCAAAATGATCACAAGAACGGTGAGCAAAAATCCCAGAACCACACGGGGAGACCTAGTGAATAACCTGCAGAGAGCTGGGACCAACATAACAAAGGCTATCAGTAACTATCACTATCAGTAACACACTACGCCGCCAAGGACTCAGATCCTGCAATGCCAGACGTGTCCCCCTGCTTAAGCCAGTACATGTCCGGGCCCGTCTGAAGTTTGCTAGAGAGCATTTGGATGATCCAGAAGAGTATTGGGAGAATGTCATATGGTCAGATGAAACCAAAGTAGAACTGTTTGGTAGAAACACAACTCGTTGTGTTTGGAGGAGAGAGAATGCTGAGTTGAATCCAAAGAACACCATACCTACTGTGAAGCATGGGGGTGGTAACATCATGCTTTGGGGCTGTTTCTCTGCAAAGGGACCAGGATGACTGATCCGTGTACAGGAAAGAATGAATGGGGCCATGTATCATGAGATTTTGAGTGCAAACCTCCTTCCATCAGCAAGGGCATTGAAGATGAAACGTGGCTGGGTCTTTCAGCATGACAATGATCCCAAACACACTGCCCGGGCAACGAAGGAGTGGCTTCGTAAGAAGCATTTCAAGGTCCTGGAGTGGCCTAGCCAGTCTCCAGATCTCAACCACATAGAAATGTTCGGGTTCTCAAAGGAAATAGTAAAGAAAACATCTTCACACTTGTGTATTGGCTAAAATCTGCATTCTGACTTAGAGGGAGGGGTCTCTACCACTTTAATCCTACTGTTTTGTCTAAGGGTATTCAGATTGTGCTTTAACTGGATGGCTTCACTTCTGCTTAATAAAAGAATCCTTTTGAACAACCACGTTTCAAGAGTTCGTTCTTTCTTAAGTTGGAAGGAGAGGCGATCCTTACACACCTGTCCACAACCTCAAACAGTCACACTCCAAACTCCACTATGGTGAAGACCAAAGAGCTATCGAAGGACACCAGAAACAAAATTGTAGACCTGCACCAGGCTGGGAAGATTGAATCTGCAATAGGCAAGCAGCTTGGTGTGAAGAAATCAACTGTGGAAGCAATAATTAGAAAATGGAAGACATACAAGGCCATTAATAACCTCCCTCGGTCTGGGGCTCCACGCAAGATCTCACCCCGTGGGGTCAAAATGATCACAAGAACAGTGAGCAAAAATCCCAGAACCACATGGGGGGACCTAGTGAATGACCTGCAGAGAGCTGGGATCAACATAACAAAGGCTACCATCAGTAATACACTACGCCGCCAGGGACTCAGATCCTGCAATGCCAGACGTGTCCTCCTGCTTAAGTGATACTGCCATTCAAGTGGAGGAAGGGGGGACTTGGATTTGATTTACTAGCATGGCCTGTGTCATCAGATATTTTACAACCTATATCCTGGCGCCAAGGAGGCCTGAGATTCCCTTTACCTGCAGGAATTTATATGATAGCCATGTGGGTTGTCTCACTTTAAAGCAGTGGTTCTCAACCTTCCTAATGCCGTGACCCTTTAATACAGTTCCTCATGTTGTGGTGACCCCCAACCAGGGGTGGGTTCTAAAATTTTTTACTACCGGTTCTGTGGGCATGGCTTATTTTGTGGGCGTGGCTTGGAGGTCATGTGACTGGGTGGGTGTGGCTAGCTGGTCATGTGACTGGGTGGCCATGGCTATATGTATAGGGACTACTCAGAGGGCTGAAAAAAGTCATTTCTGACAGGTCCTCGCACTTTTGACTGGTCCTCACACTTATGACCATCCTCACATTTATGCCCATGCAGCATTCTTAACAACCATGTCACTCATTTCACAACTGCTTCTCTTCACCATGGTAACAAGATAGGGCAAAAACGTAAAATGTGAGGACAGTCGTAAGTTCGAGGACTGGTCAAAAGTGCGAGGACCAGTCAAAAATAACTTTTTCAGCCCTCTGAGTAGTCCATATGCATAAAAGGATACAGCAATAGAGAGGGATGAAGGAAGGGAAGGGAAATTAGAGTAGGAGTGAGGGTAAGAGAGGGAGGAAGAGAGAGGGGAAGGAGAAAGGAAGAGGAAGTAGGGGAGGAGAAGAAGGGGGGGGGAAGAGAAAGTAAGAAGGAAAGAAAAGAGAGAGGTGGTAGGTTTGAGGAGAAAGATTGCTATACAATAAAAAAGATGAAAGGGAAGAAAACCAACCCCAAACAAATATAAAGATATTTAGATAAAGAATGAATTGTTAAACTTTAAAGAATAAAAGAGAACAAATATGAATAAATAGCAATAATTAGAAACACAGATACAAACATACAATGTATTTTCTTTGAACAGAGTATTTGGCCGGTTCACAAATTTAAACAGTGTTTAGTCATTTCAATTAAATTTACAATTTCTATATTTCCTTTTTTCCATATTTATTCCTCATCTATTTTTAAAAAAAACCAATATTATCCTTCATCCTCATCTCTAATCTTAATCAAATTCAATTTCCCCCTTCCCCCTATTATACCCCTTCGCATTGTCATCTATTTTTATATCCATCCTCACATTGGTTAATTATGTAATACAGTTGTTTAATACAAATTCAACATTTTAATATAAATCAATTAGTTATATTATTATCTTTTTTGTATATTAATCAATATGAACATGAATATTCCAATTATTTCCATGCAATCCAATTTCTTACAAATCAATTAATTATATTTACCAATAATAATAAACCAAATAATTTCCCCCATATGTTCCTCCAAACCACAACTTAACCATTTCTGCTTTCAACACAATATATAATTAATAGTATCTCAATTATTACAATTCCCTAGTTAAATAGAGCTTTTTTCTTTTGTGTTTTAAAATCTTGAACGCCCTCTTTTGCCCTAAATTTCCCATTGTTTGCAGTTTTGCACCTACGTTTTTTGGTGAGGAAAAGGAAAAGGAAAAAGAAATCTCTCTCTGCCTCATTTTGTCACGTTGCAGCAAAGACCCTGCTTTACTTTCAGTTTCACTTTTTCAGCATAGCTAGGGGAAAAAAAGTCTGCTCCAGTAATTTACCTCTTTGCAGCTAGCTAGCAACAGAGCCCTCCACAAAACAGCTGAGAGCAAATCAGCTAAGAATCGGGAGGCTGATCAAATCAACTTATGGTAATTAACCTATCTTGAAGCTGAAAGGGGCTGTTTTTTCTATTTTTGCAGGCCGGTCTACTCATGTTTTCTTTTAACACTGTTCAGCTGTAGGGAGGCCCTTTTAAGCCCTGCGGCAAGAATTTAAACAGTTTTTTTTCCCTCTAGCCATCATCTGGGACTCAGGAGGCAGCAATAGATTGGGAGTAGGTGGGGTAAGCAAACAGCGACCGGCGATCCAACAGAGGCAGAGGGTGAGGGTGAGTGAAGGCGTGGGGGGGGTGAGAGAGGGCTTTGGTGACCCCTGTAAAATGGCCGTTCGACCCCCAAAGGGGTTGCGACCCCCAGGTTGAGAACCGCTG